TTTTTTTTTTTTTCCCCCCCCCCCCCCCTTACACCATCCCCAGGAGAATTGTTCTGCTCCTTTTGTACAATAGGAAATATTCCAAGTTTCTTCTTAGGCCTAAGTCAGCAGTTTATAATGTTTAAATTAGGGGTTAATAAATGTTGTTATGGTCTCTCTTCTCTCCCCTTTTACCCTTGGCAGAAAATAGAGGTGGACTCTTCTTCAGTACTGGCACAAATGCTGCATGAGGCTTGTGTAAGATGCTGCAGGTCACCTGTTACTGCATTTAAACTGAAGGGTGTTCATCACTTTCAAGGAGATGTCTACTGCAACATGTCATAAAAGCCAGCCCTTGCCACTTGACAAGTATTGGCATTGGCTCAGTAGCCTTGTGGGATGCTGACACTACAGTTTGGGGATTTTTTTCTGCCTTAGTTTTATGCTTGTGATCCAAATCCATGATTTTTTAAGCATGTTGAATTTCCTAACACCTCTAGGCATGGGCATTTCAAGTGCTGCAGGGCTGTTTTCTTATGTTCTTTACTATTTGTACTGACTGTTTCTTGTTATCCTTGTTGACATGCACTTTGGAAAGTCCCCTCTTATTTGTCAAAAGAGGGGATATTGGCTACTCTGCCCTCTAAACTAAATGGTTCTATGTGCACCGGTGTTTGTTTTGGGCGACTCCTTTTCACTGTGTTTTTCTTTTCAAGGGAAGAGAGAATGACTGACACTAGGGTCAGTAGTTTTTGAACCTTGCCACTTCACCTTTTGTAACACCAATGTTGTGTTGAGAGATTTACGCCTAGTGTGGCAGCATATATCAGTGTCGAACCAACACTCCTGCATGTCTAACTGGCACTCCTTTGACACTTCAGCTGACTGGGCCACCTAAGTCCATAAAACACTCACCGTCATTTAACGTCTCTCCCTACCTCTATGTATTGGTCTCTTAAAATGATGTAATCCACTTAATTGCTAAAATCAGTGTGCATTTAATTGGGTCTAAATTATTCTGGCCTTCCAAAACCCAGTAGTTCTTTGTGCTAACGTATTCAAAAATGGATTTACAGTATGTATGTTATTGATTGCTATTGCAGCTGAGCCAAGTGTATTGATAAAGACAGCTTTCATTGATAAATACAGGATACGTGGGTTGCCATCATAAATACAACTATTTGCAATTTAGAGTCCTATATATTGGATTAAATGAAACCTGACTCGCACACAGAGATGTATTCCATCCTGGCACCCAAGTAGACGGTACTTAATAGCTTTACCATAAAGCATGTCTATGGGCACAATAAAAGCCCAGAGAAATCATCATACCTGACTCAATATTTAGCTGCTGCATACTCACGTAGCTGTACTTTGTGCTGAGATTAGTCATTCTAACAAAGACCAGTTACTGTGTAGTCACAATTACAGATGCTGTGGAACTCCCATCTTTTTGCCTTTTTCCATGCAGTGATATATTCATTAGCGGCCTCCCAATGCTTTTTGCAAAGGATCCATCTCCCTTTCCTATTTAAAACCACCCTCTACCTGAGATACACACAAGCTGTGAGTTCTTAGAACAGTACTGCCAGATGTCTAAAAAATTAGGAGCCCAACTCCCCCCACCCAAAGTTATGTGGCTTAAAAATAATTGACTTCTTTTTATTTGCTTTTCCATGTGTTTTGACTCATCGGGGTCACAGTTAAAAGCTTCTTCATGACAGAAGGGACTAGGATCCCCATTCCTCCCTCTTTCTGTCATGAAATAGTTTTGTGAACCACTGTGATTCCAGGAGTTGAGGTTTTAAGTGAAATGCCAATATTGAAAATGTAATGGACAGTTGTTAGTTGTGAGAGTTGTTAGGAAGAAATCCTACTCTACAAAGAGCAGTCATTCCATTCAGATTCCATTTCTTTATAAGTATAGCACCTTTGTATCCCATAGATTTCCTCTGTTTGTGTGTGCAGACACAACTGCTAGCCTTTGATAATCACAAGAAGGAACAGACGCTTCATTTTTACAACAGTGGGATTGTGCTGTCTGCCAGAACGTAGAATTGGAGCTGAAAATCTTTCAACTGTCATTGTTCATGAACAGAGAGGAAAGGACCCAGCTTGAGTTTCAGTGTCTAGAGTGGTTTTACAGGGCTGGAAATTACACCAGTTTTTTAGTTATAACTGAAAATAGTTGATAGAATTATTGAAGTGAATGCAAAACACCACAATCCCACCACAATACAGGGAAATTGAGCTTGTGTTTCATTTGGCATGAATTGCTGAACAATAAAGTGTTTAAAACAGGGAAAAGGCAAGGAGAGGGGCAGAGTATTTAAACACAAGGTATTTATTTGTTTTTATTACCATAGTATCTGAGGCTCAGATTTTTATCTAACCTCACTGAAATCAATCAGAGTATTTGCAGTCAGAATTCAATGTAAAAGTGGCTGAATAATAGAAATTATGGAATGGTATGTTAGGGGCAGTATTTACTGTGCAAGAAGAGGTAATTAAAGGGAGA